GTTAACCCCTTTGGAAAAATGTCAATTTTTCGACTTTTTGAACTTCTTGTTTTTTGGACCAAAAACATGGGTACATTTCCTGGTCTATATTGCCCTTTGGAAAAATGTCAATTTTTCGACTTTTTGATCAAAACCATGGGTTTTTGTTTTTATAACCTAGAAAGGCGTTTTTTCGTTCTAGAATATCGTAAAATACATTTTCCTGGTCTATATTGCCCCCAAAGAAAAAAGTTGGAAAAATTTTGACCAAAATTTTTGGATCAAAACCATGAAAAATGTCAATTTTTGTTTTGAACTTCTTGTTTTTTATTTTTATAGCTTTTTTCGAGAAAGTAAAATTTTTTGTTCAAAGAAAAATATCGAAAAAGACATTTTTTCAAAACCTGGGTTTTGTTTTGAACTTCTTGTTTTAAAAAGTTGGAAAAATGTTTTTGTTTTGGACCAAAAACATGGGTTAACCCCTTTGGAAAAATGGCCATTTTTGTCAATGGGTTTTTCGAAAAATGTCAATTTTTCGACTTTTTGAACTTCTTGTTTTTATAGCCTAGAGAGGCGTTTTTTCGTTCTAGAATATGTTAAAAGACATTTTCCTGACCTTTATTGGCTAAAAAAAAAGTTGGAAAAATGGCCATTTTTGGACCAAAACTATGGGTTAACCTTTTTGGAAAAACGTGAATTTTTCGACTTTATGAACTTCTTGTTTTTACAGCCTAAAAAGGTGTTTTTCGCTCTAGAATATCGTAAAAGACGTTTTCCTGGCCTATATTGCCTAAAAAAAAAGTTGGAAAAATAACCTTTTTTTGGACCAAAACCATGGGTTAACCCCTTTGGAAAAATGTCAATTTTTCGACTTTTTGAACATCTTGTTTTTATAGCCTAGAAAGGCGTTTTTTCTTTCTATAATATCGTAAAAGACATTTTCCTGGCCTATATTGCCCCCCCCCCCCCTAAAAAAGTTGGAAAAATGGCCATTTTTGGACCAAACCATGGGTTAACCCCTTTAAAAAATGTCAATTTTTCGACTTTTTGAACTTCTTGTTTTAAAAGCCTAGAAAGGCATTTTTTCATTCTAGAATATTGTAAAAGACATTTTCCTGGCCTATATTGCCCCCCTCAAAAAAAGTTGGAAAAATGGCCATTTTTGGATCAAAACCATGGGTTAACCCCTTTGGAAAAATGTCAATTTTCCGACTTTTTGAACTTCTTGTTTTTATAGCCTAGAAAGGCGATTTTTCGTTCTAGAATATCGTAAAAGACATTTTCCTGGCCTATATTGCCCCCCCCCCCAAAAAAAGTTGTAAGAATGGCCATTTTTGGACCAAAACCATGGGTTAACCCCTTTGGAAAAATGTCAATTTTTTGACTTTTTGAACTTCTTGTTTTTATAGCCTAGAAAAGCGTTTTTTCGTTCTAGAATATCGTAAAAGACATTTCCTGGTCTATATTGCTAAAACAAAAAAAGTTGGAAAAATGGACATTTTTGAATCAAAACAATGGGTTAACCCCTTTGGAAAAATGTCAATTTTTCGACTTTTCGAACTTCTTGTTTTTATAGCCTAAAAAGGCGTTTTTTCTTTCTAGAATATCGTAAAACACATTTTCCCGGCTTATATTACATTAAAAAAAAACATGGAAAAATGGCCATTTTTGGACCAAAGCCATGGGTTAACCCTGTTGGAAAAAACCGCAATTTTTAGACTTTTTGAAAGTACTTTTTTATAGCCTAGAAATGCGGTGTTTCATTCTAAAATATTTTAAAACACATTTTTCTTGCCTATATTGCCTTAAAAAAGGTGGAAAAATAGCCATTTTTGGACCATAACCATGGGTTAACCCCTTTGGAAATATCTTAATTTTTCGACTTTTCAAACTCTTTGTGTTTATAGCCTAGAAAGTCGTTTTTTTGTTCTAGAATATCGTAACACACATTTTCCTGGCCTATATTGCTTAAAAAAAAAAAGATGGAAAAAAGGCCATTTTTGGACCAAAAACATGGGTTAACCCCTTTGGAAAAATCTCAATTTTTCGACTTTTTGATCTTCTTGTTTTTATAGCCTAGAAAGGCGTTTTTTCGTTTTAGAATATCGTAAAACACATTTTCCTGGCTTATATTATATTTTAAAAAAACCATGGAAAAATGGCCATTTTTGGACCAAAACCATTGGTTAACCGCTTTGGAAAATCTCAGTTTTTTCGACTTTTTGAACTTTTTTTTATTGCCTAGAAAAGGGTTTTTTCGTTCTAGAATATCGTAACACACATTTTTCTGGCCTATTTGCTTAAAAAGAAAAGATCAAAAAAAGTCCAGTTTTTGGACCAAAACCCCTTTGAAAAAATCTTCATTTTTCGTCTTTTTGAAAATCTTGTTTTAATAGCCGAGAAAGGCTTTTTTCGTTCTACAATATTGTAAAACACATTTTCCTCGCCAATATTACCTAAAAAAAAGGAGGGATGCCTATATTAAAAAGATGGAAAAATTGACAATTTTTAACCAAAATCATGGAAAAATCCCAAATTTTCGACTGTTTTTACTTGTTTTTATAGTGTGGAAAGGCTTTTTTTCTTCCTAGAATATTCTCAACACACATTTTCTTGGCCTATTTCGCCTATGATAAAATCTTAAGGTTGAAAAATTGCCAATTTTTATTAACCCCTTTGGAAAAATCCTAAATTTTCCACTTTTTCAACTTGCTATTTTTAGTGTGGAAAGGCTTTTTTTTTCTTTGTAGAATATCCCCTAACACATTTTTCCTGGCCTATTTTGCCTATAATATAAAGATAAAAACATTGCCAGTTTTTGACCAAAACTATGGACTATTTTGGAAAAATCCCAAATTTTCGACTTTTTAAACTTGTTTTTATAGTCTGGAAAGGCTTTTTTTCTTTCTAGAATACATTCAAACACATTTTGATTAGCTATTTTTCCTATATTATTATATTCCTATATGGAAAAATTGCCAATTTTTGACCAAAGCCATGGACTAACCCCTTTGGAAAAATCCGATTTTTTCGACTTTTTGGCTTGTTGTTTTTATAGTCTGTAACGGGCTGTAAGGGTTGTAACGGCTGTAAGGGTGTAATCATGGGTTCAACCCTTTGAAAAATAATAAAAAATGCGACTATCTGAAGTCTAAGGCTAGAAGGTCATTTTTGCCCAGAAACAGATACTTAAAAAAATTCCGTTTTTTGACGATAATCATGGGCTAACCCTTTGGAAAATACGCAAAAGTGCGACTATCTGAAGTGCAAATTTTTAAAGGCCAGAAACGTTTCTTGTCTGTCGAAATGATCCCCAAACATTATTTTAAGATGATTTTTGCCCAAATGCCGAAAATGCAAAAAGTGCTGTTGTTTGACCAAAATCATGGGTTAACCCCTTTGGAAAATATGCCAAAATGCGACTATCTAAAGTGCATATTTTTATAGGCTAGAAACGATTCTTTTCTATCTTAAAGATCCCAAATATTATTTCAAGATCATTTTTACCTAAAAACAGGGAATGAAAAAAGTTTTACTTTTTGACCTTGGAAAATATACAGAAATGTGACTATCTGAAGTGCATATTTTTTTAGGCCAGAAACGACTCTTACCTTTCGAAAAGATTTCTAAATATTATTTGAAGATTTTTTTTGCCCAATAAGAGAACATCAAAAACATTCCATTTCTTGACCAAATCATGGGTTAACTTTTTTGGAAAATATGCAAAAATGCGACTTTCTGAAGTGCATATTTCTATAGGCTAGGAAAGATTCTTTTCTATCGAAAAGATCCCCAAACATTATTTCAAGATCATTTTTGCCCAAAAACAAGAAATGAAAAGTTTTATTTTTTGACCAAAATTATGGGTTAACCCCTTTGGAAAATATTGAAAAATGCGACTATCTGAAGTGCCTATTTTTATGGGCTAGAAACGATTCTTTTCTATCTAAAAGATCTTCAAGCATTATTTTCAAGATCATTTTTTCCCAAAAACAGAAGATGAAAAAAATGCTGGTTTAATGCCTTTGGAAAATATGCAAATTTGCGACTATCTGGAGTGAATCTTTTTTAAAGGGTAGAAACGGTTTTTTTTTTCTATCGAAACCTTTAGAGTATTATTTCTAGGCAGTTTTTCCCAAACACAAAATGAAGAAGATTCAATTTTTTCTACCAAAATTTTGCGACTATCTGAAATGCATATTTTTATAGGCGAGAAATCGATTCTTTTCTGTCTAAAACGTCTTCAAATATTATTTCTTAGAATTTAAAATTCTTGCTTAGTTAGCGAATACTATTTGCCCCTATGGCTTTATAGCCCGTCTTTAGAACCCTTTCGCTGGTCGCCACTATGATGCGTTTATATTTTGTGCAAGCAATTTTCTTCAAATGCTCCGACGGACGTTTGCACTTTCAGAAATATTTTCCGTCTGATATGCCCGAAACTCTTTAATCTCCTGGGTCCGGTTCCTGAAAGGCGCTAATCCAGGATTAAAATTTTGTTCCACTTTTTGTATTTACCTTCCTATGCATTGCTTAGAGTAACATCTTGAGTTATCAGTTCTCTTTTTCGAAGGAAAGGCTCAATAGTATTTTGTAAGCTCGAGTTACGTGTTCTTAGACAAGAAAATCTTGCTTAAACTTAGGCTCAATCCTGGGTTAAACTTAACCACCTTTCGAGGAACCGGGCCCTGTTCGTCAACATATCTTGGGTGCCTACTGAGGTTGCACAAATCCATCCAGACCAAGAACTTTTAAAGAAGAATCTGTTGAATTTGAGGTGGTAGAATATTTGTATGTTGTGTAGGTGTTATCATGACCACACCAGATGTGCCATATTTTACTCGAAAAAGGACTGTGCTGTTTGTCGGATGCTTGTTCAAGGAGCATGAGACGTGCTTATGTTAACTTACGGTTGTGTTCAGTTCAGTTTCAGCCGTTGAACGTCGGTCGATAGACGTAGGCCTTCCCCACTGACCTCTACTGAACTACTTTTTGCGCGACACAGTTACAGGTTTTGGAAACCATGCAAGTCTTCCCTTCATCTCGTCCTTGGTCTTCCTCGGTTCCTTGTGTGTCTCCGGCGCGTCCTGAACGTAATGCTGATTGTCCAACGGTTGTCCGTTCTTCTCGCCAAATAACCAGCCCAGTTCCATTTGAGTTTGCTTATTATTTCCATGATATCTGTTACTTTGGTTTCTTCTCGGATCCAATGAGCTGTTTTACGATCTCGCCATGATTCTCACATGTGCTCTCTGCATAGTTCTGAGTTTCAAGATTTGTTGTTTCGTAAGATTCCAGGTCACATATCCGTAGGTGACTGTTAGTAAGATGCACTGATCGTAAACCTAGCGTTTGAGAACGATTGCAATGTCTTTGAAGATAGCACTCGCTCGAGTATGCGTATATGTGAAGTGAACAACAAATATACACCAATGAAAATAGCCCGAGAAAACATCCGACATTTGCCGACGCTATCACTGGTTTCCCCGCCAAATGACGTCTGCGAAACGAGCACAGAAAGTCCATACTGATGACGCGTAACTACTCAGATCTGGGTGGTGCTTCTCATTGGTTGAATCAAATTTCCCACGTGGCACGACCAATGAGAAACACTACCCAGATCTGGGTAGTGACGCGTCATCAGTATAGAATTTCTGCGCCCATTTTTCAGAGGTCATTTGGCAGGGAAACCAGTGGTAGCGTCGCCAAATGTCGGTTGTTTTCTCTGACTATAATGAAGGAAAACATTTTTAATTTCAATTTTTTAAACTAATGTACAAAGGTCCAACTGTTAAATAATGGTTAGTGTCTAAGCATTTACGTTTATTTTTGGAGGGCTTGGCAAGGAGCATCCCTGTTATACGATATAGCCAACTAGTGTACGTGTAATCTGCGAATAATTCAAGTTTTCTCAGTCTTTCCCAAAGCACTGCTATTACTCATGTACCCAACCAAGCTCACAGGCTAATAGCCAAGGGTATATTATACAGTTCACATCCCTTGCTGGAGGTGTACATTCTAAAGTCAATCTTAATTTATGTCGCCAAAACTTATAACCTTTTCCGGGTCAACTGACCTTAGAGTAAATTGAAAGATATTGCCAAAAAACGAAGCGAGACTGAAATCTGGCAGAGTTGAGCTACCGCTTACAACTGAAATACAAGCGGTCAGACGGAGGCCAGAAAAAACCTGCCCCATTGCAAAAAACCCCGAGGGGAAAAAATGCGAGCAGGAAATCTGGGTAGGAACCAAGGCTCAAGCTCCATAGTCCTTCCTACGGGACTTTTACTTAGTAAAAAGAACCGGCCGCCTAAAACGAAGGTTAGTTTTAAAGCATCCATTTCATCGAAATGTTTCCTGTAAAAGTGACTTAATCTTGATCTCATCTGCTGATATGGTTTTGAAGAGGACATAAATTCCTGTAGCATTTAACCAATCCTTCTGTTCCACATTCAGTGCATTGTTCTTACAATCCAGTTCTATTTCACAGAACAACAATTCTGATAAGTTCCGCTTCTCTGTTAGATGCGACACTATATTGGGGCTCAAGGTTCTCTTTCCTTGTTTAGCTGTTTATTATGAGAAATAAAATTAAAATTGTCCATTAATTATTGGATGTTAAGAATGTAAATGGCCGTATATGAGTATCCAGTGTTAACCACATCTGTTGGTAGTTGGCATAGGTTATGTGGTAAACGTTATGTTAACATGAATTATCAATAACAATACAATACGATTATCTAGGGCTAATTTGGACCCAAGGATTGAAATACGTCCCAGCGTGGGCTGGAATAGGCTTTTTAAAGGGCTCTTTTTGCTTGAAATTGAGTTCAAATGGCTCCATGAAAGGCTGAATCAGACTTTGGTCTGCAGGGCCGCTAAATTGAAACTTTGGTGTAATCTTTTCACCCCCTTCAACAGAATGTATCAAGCAACCCTCTACAATTCTTGGTTTGCAACCACGTGACAAGGCGGCCATGTTGAGGGTCAATACACTATAATTTTTCTTGAAGAATTTACATGAAAACAGAGTTAAGTTACCAGAGGAGAGAAATGCTTTTGTTCTTGATCTCCAATATGGCCGCCGCGACCTCACGTGCAAACCAGCAATGGCCTCTCTTCTCCTTGGTATTTCTCCTTCAAGAGTGACTGGAAAAAAGCCTCTCCCGGGCCTTTTGATAGACATTTTACTGAGTAAGGTTTTTCCGTTATTTTTCTTGGCGAAAGACTTGTAAACTTACTTCGATTAAGTGTGGCCGATGTTTTATCCCTGATGTCCTTGTCCAGTTTACTAATCTTCCTCTTCCACTTTCTTAGTCTTGTCGTTTTGCTTTGGCAGATCCTCATAAAACAAGGAAGCATTATAAATTAGCTTTTAAAACTCTGTAAACTGCCCCCTTAGTCTCAGATCTAAAATAGCAATTGGACACTAACCACTACAATTGATTTGATTAGCTGTATTGGCAATAAAAAGGAGAATTCTAAGGTAAGAATAACAGTTTTATGGGCCCTGGCTGATATCGCATAATTCTTCCACAAGTTCAGTGCAAGAGAAAATTGTTTAGGCTGTTTACGGACGCTCCTCTTCCGCATTTTTTCCTAAGAGAGGGCTGTAAAGTGATGGCAATCTTATTGCTGAGATCACGCAATTGCCTACGCACTGCGTTAGCGGCTATCTGATCTTTGAATGGAAGAACTATGCTGATCGTGTTGCCATCGTCGGTTTTCTTTTCTGGCTTAGTTGCAATATTCTGAATAAACATATTAACGGTAGAATTTATGAGCTTATTTTTGTGAGCAAAAAATTGGAGCAAGATCTTAAGCCTAAAGAAATTAAGCCGAGTTTTTAAGTCAGCAAAGAACTGAGGCCTAGCCTCAACACTCAGAGTGAGTCCATCAGTTCTAACCTCTTTGTTTGACTTGTAACATATTTTTATATGCTAATTTCCTTTTAATGAACTACTGTTTTTCTTGTATTTATAGAACATTGATATTGCATCTCTTTTCACTTGATAATGACATCCGGTAACGTCGAAAAGTCGTTTATTTTTCACCTTTTTTAAAATTTATTAAATGTTTTTAAGAAAAGTTTTTTCGCAATTTTTTAAAGCTAAATGTTTTAAAAAGTCGCTTCTTCAAAATGACTAAATATTAAAAAGGAAAATTAAAAGAAATTCATAACGTGATATACTCACCAGCCAACCTTGAAGCAAAAGCAGCAGTGTGTGGTCAGTCAGGGTCCAGGATTCTAACCTCTACCCAATAATTTTAAGCCAGAATTATGCACATCTTTGCTTTGACCCTGAAAGACTGAATAAAAGTCAAACCCTACAACGTCCAGTGTTGTGGACGATCTGAAACAAAAATACTAGAGATAAAAAGGAAAACGTTAGAAATCTAGGAAAGCGGAAAAAAAGGAATCATGATTAATAAAGTATACTTGGCGATCCCAAAGCGTGCTACCCTCACCTATAGAGATGGAAGAAAGTAAGAAGTTAGCATAAGTTTCCAATATTGGTATCCCTACGTTTCTCTGTTCCCTGATTTACGGTGTTATCGGTTCGAGTGTCAGCGGTTTACTCAAAATACGTTTCAACGCCTATACATTCCGTCGAATTTCCACAAAAATCAGTTCCCAAACAAACCAGGATTCCCGTTGTCCGCGTTGATAATTTTAGATTGTAGTTGTGTGGACCGCCCTATCTTTAAAAAAGAAAGCGGAAGAAATAATCACGATCAATAGAGTTTGCTTGGTAATCCCAAAGCGTGCTACCATCAGCTGAAGAGATAGGAAGAAACTAAGAAGTTAGCATAAGTTTCCAATTTGAAAAGTACCCGAGTTAGAGTCGTATCCCTACGTTTCTCCGTTCCCTGATTTTTTGTGTAATATCGGTTTTGAGTGTCAGCGGTTTACGCAAGATACGTCTCAACGCCTATACACCCCGTCGATTTTACACAAAAAATCAGTTCCCAAACAATCCAGGATTCCCGTTGCCCGCGTTAATAATTTTAGATTGGTATCCCTACGTTTCTCTGTTCCCTGATTTTTTGTGTAATATCGGTTTTGAGTGTCAGCGGTTTACGCAAGATACGTCTCAACGCCTATACACCCCGTCGATTCTACACAAAAAATCAGTTCCCAAACAAACCAGGATTCCCGTTGCCCGCGATAATAATTTTAGATCGGTATCCCTAGGTTTCTCTGTTCGCTGATTTTTTGTGTAATATCGGTTTTGAGTGTCAGCGGTTTACGCAAGATACGTCTCAACGCCTATACACCCCGTCGATTTTACACAAAAAATCAGTTCCCAAACAATCCAGGATTCCCGTTGCCCGCGTTAATAATTTTAGATTGGTATCCCTACGTTTCTCTGTTCGCTGATTTTTTGTGTAATATCGGTTTTGAGTGTCAGCGGTTTACGCAAGATACGTCTCAACGCCTATACACCCCGTCGATTTTACACAAAAAATCAGTTCCCAAACAATCCAGGATTCCCGTTGCCCGCGTTAATAATAATAAGATTGGTATCCCTAGGTTTCTCTGTTCGCTGATTTTTTGTGTAATATCGGTTTTGAGTGTCAGCGGTTTACGCAAGATACGTCTCAACGCCTATACACCCCGTCGATTCTACACAAAAAATCAGTTCCCAAACAAACCAGGATTCCCGTTGCCCGCGTTAATAATTTTAGATTGGTATCCGTACGTTTCTCTGTTCGCTGATTTTTTGTGTAATATCGGTTTTGAGTGTCAGCGGTTTACGCAAGATACGTCTCAACGCCTATACACCCCGTCGATTTTACACAAAAAATCAGTTCCCAAACAAACCAGGATTCCCGTTGCCCGCGATAATAATTTTAGATTGGTATCCCTAGGTTTCTCTGTTCGCTGATTTTTTGTGTAATATCGGTTTTGAGTGTCAGCGGTTTACGCAAGATACGTCTCAACGCCTATACACCCCGTCGATTTTACACAAAAAATCAGTTCCCAAACAAACCAGGATTCCCGTTGCCCGCGTTAATAATTTTAGATTGGTATCCCTAGGTTTCTCTGTTCGCTGATTTTTTGTGTAATATCGGTTTTGAGTGTCAGCGGTTTACGCAAGATACGTCTCAACGCCTATACACCCCGTCGATTTTACACAAAAAATCAGTTCCCAAACAAACCAGGATTCCCGTTGCCCGCGTTAATAATAATAAGATTGGTATCCCTAGGTTTCTCTGTTCGCTGATTTTTTGTGTAATATCGGTTTTGAGTGTCAGCGGTTTACGCAAGATACGTCTCAACGCCTATACACCCCGT